GCTGCCTAGATGGTCTAGCCTTCAAGCTGTGAATGTGGTCTCCCAGACCTTCCCTACAGTATACCTTCCGATATCCTGGTGGAGGTTACGGCGGCCTAAATTTATAGCAGGAACGGGCACCCCCCTCCTGATTTGTTTGCCCGATTATTGGGCTATAAGGTTACAGAACGAAGGTATGTCTCTGCTGGGAATGAGTGAATCTGTGGTTATTGAAGTCACATCCATCTTTACGAGTCATTCACCAAATTCGCAGTTTTCAAGATGTCAGTCGCGAACAATTAATGCATGAAACGGCCTTAGTGTGGAGCATCGTCCAGCCTTGAACATTACAAACCAAGCAGTGAACCTTCCCCCAGAGGGCCAAACTCTGGCTGTCCAACGGCGATAATATTGGGATCAAACAGCCGTTCATTTGCCAGGTGGCCTTTTGAGGTACTGGCGGCGACGTTACTGGTGACCATAGCAGAAGAGGAACCAAGACGAATGCCAGGGATGACGATTAAAATGCAAAAGAGAGCATTCGGCAACTCGATATTTGTTTGCTCGCACACTTCGACTACGCGGGCTTTTCAGTCGCGGCCGTTTTTACACGCTTCTTCCCTCTCCAGTTGCCAGCATTTCCTTCCAGCCATGACTAGGCGCTTGGGGGTTGTAAGTACGATGCATGCAGACAGAGCTTTTCAGACTTCAAAGAAGGCATGGAGTATTATAAATCACTGCCTACAGAGCGGAAAAGTGGTTCTGGGCGATGTCTGAGCTTGTTCACCGCCACCTGTAAAAAATGGGTGAATCCTTTACTTCCACATAAAATCCTTAACGGTGGATGACCTAAGAGGTGAAGGCATTTAAATCTTTAGCAGAATATGCTCTATTTTTCAGGCCTCCACGATTATGGCTTCTCACTTATGCTAGGAGTCTTTCAGGTCGTCTTTACATTGATCTGTTCACCACATAAGGCCTCCGTAGATTACTCTGCATCGGATCACCCAAAAACGACCAGTAGTAAGGCAGAAGAAAAAAAGTTACGTGAGCATACCCACCATATTATTGACCGTCCACTCTGGCAGAGCCCGAGGATAACCGCAATCGGTTTGGCAGATGAGATGCAGCTCCACTCCAGAGCGCAGATCGTAGGGATTGGTGCGAGTACCTAGGCCGTAGATTTGAGGTGGATGCGAGGCGAGATCAACACCAACACCGCCAGCATTGTTTGTTTGTGGATCAGAGCTACGAGTAGACGAGAGTCCCCCAGAAGAGGGGAGAGTGATACGAGACACCTGGATTGGCAACATCTTCGGTGGAACTGGTGTAATAGAATGATGCAAAGCATTCAATGGATGGCTTTTCCCAATTTCATACGATTTGCATACCACGAAGTGCTTCTCGTGTCACCTGTACCACTTTCCACCCAAGTGAGTGCACTTCTAGCCTTTTTTGCCTTCTAATCCTTTCGGTGGAAGTAGCACAGGTCTCCTTTGAAAGGTTTTGACCTCCTCCTCACGCACGAGGCAAATATAGTCCCGTGGGAAAGAAGTGGCTAGTGTC